TAGTTAGGGCATCCCCATTCATAGGTTTATTTATGGATCATCTTGATGATGTGGATGATATTTTCTGAGATCATGGTTGAGATGTTGAGATTATTTGAAGAGATTATTTTAAAAAATAATCTGGTATCAAATATCAAAATCTGGATTATTTGAGATTATTTTCAAAGTTCAGGGTCCAAGACGTAATTAGGCTAGCTTTTAATGTGCCCAGCCCATTCTTGAAATTCGTACTAGTGTACTACGGCGACAAATTTATACTACTAGTACGTAGTCTGTATAGGAAAGCAGGAGGCTTCATGCCTTCATTAAAATCAATTGTATGTCCCATAAAAATCCGGATACATAGAGATCATGTTTGAGAAGAAAATAATAAGTTTTGAGATTTTTTACATGGCAGTGACACGTCATAAATAAATAATAAAAACCATAAATTTGAAAAACATGAATGGAGATGCTCTTATTGTCATTGTCGTTGTCGTTGTCGTTGTCGTGCTTGTAGTTAAAGATTTTGAAATAGCAATAACATTGGGGTCAATTTATGCGACATTGAATTGTAAGGAATTAAATGCAACTCTGTTGCAATGTGTGATTGCATAGTCTTCACATCTTTTTTTGATACTATCTCCGTCCCCTTTTAAATGTCCCGGAGGAGAGTGACACGAGTTTTAAGAAAAGTGGGTTTGTGTGATTGATATTAATTGATAAAGTAAGAATAAAGTAAGAATAGTTTTGAGCCACACAAACTTTACCAAATAAAGTATGAGACATTTAAATAGGGACATCCCAATATGGTAAAACGGGATATTTAAAAGGGGGCGGAGGGAGTAGTTATTATTGACAATTATCACCTTTTTTCAAACGTGACTGCAATTAAATGAATGGTGTATGAGTTTTTCGCAACAAGCACATAGCACACCCAAGACAAGGACTCAGAGTAAAGTTTTCCATCAGCTAAATTTATTTTCTCATACACATATTTCTAACCAAAATACCATATGTAGTTCAGGGTAAAGTGTATATCCCTATCACCCCATGCACAAAGCTGTATGTGTCCACTAGAAAGTGACAGCAAAGTGTAGCATTTCAAACCTATGTTTCTACTCACATTCCTCTATGTCTTTGTTTCAAAACAACTAACCAACACAATGTAATCTAAGACCTTTTTATTAGTTTTGTCCACTCACAACTCCTGATCATCTCACTGTGATCCAATCTTCACTTTGTTGTTCTTCTTCTTCAAACTTAATCTTCTCACACAGAATTGAGAATGGAATTTTAACATGAGGAGAGGGCTCATCTTCATCTTCTGGAAAGACACTTTTGTCCAAAACACTTGCTGGTGATGAAGAAGAATAAGGAGAAGAAGTACATTCAACATTGACCTTTGATTTCGGGGAAACAAACGGATGGTGAAGCAATTCTTCGGCCTTCCATCTCCTTCTTGGATCCCTATCCAAACACTTCTCCAAAAAGTCCAAACCTTCTTTTGAGAAATGTGTTGGGAAATTAGGCCTATCTTCACTGCAAGCGATTCTGAGAAGCGCAGCGGTTGGGTTGTTTGAGATTTTCCCTGCCCAAGGGAGCTGCCCGGTCGCCATTTCTATGACCGTGCATCCTAATGACCAAATATCAGAAGCACAAAAAATTCCTTCATTCCTCAGAGTCTCTGGTGCCATCCATAGAGGACTCCCGCCAAAAAATCGCGGGAAACAAAGAGATTCCCTCCCGCCTAAAAAAGGCGGGAAACGAAGGGAATCCCTTGTTGTTCTCTGGGAGAGACCGAAATCGGCCAGTTTGAGTTCCCCGGATGATCCCAATAGGATGTTCTTGCACTTGAGATCACAATGCACAATCCCATTCCCGTGGAGATATTTGAGCCCGAATAGGATCTCTCTCGTGTACAAACGGATGACAGTTTCGTCGAACTTGCCCCCGAATTGATCCATTACGTCTGCTAAACTCCCACCCGCCATGTACTCCATGAAGAGGTTGAGTTCACGTGTTCCTTTAGAGACTTCCTTGCCCAAACACTTCACAATGTGAGGGGAATCCAGGGACTCTAGAATCTGTGCTTCGTTCTCTAGGCATTGAATTCCCAACTTCGACTCTGCGGATTTTATGACGAAAAGGCTCCCGGTGGACTTGTTCAATGCCAGATGAATGTTTCCGTGGGATCCACACCCAACCGCCTTCCCTTTCACCCATTCGACAGGCCCTTGGTATAAACACGGCCTAGAGGAGCAATTTCCTGATGACATGTCTTATTTCTTGTCTGGTTACCTAAATTCTTCATGTAACGCTGGTTAATTATTCTTGATTCGAGGTTAAATGCTGATTCTGTAGGAAAAGATCCCAAGTTTTTTTCTTTCCTGTGTCTTAAATCTGCAAAAAACAGCAAAACAATGTCATGAAACCTGCACAAGTAATTCAATTGGTTTTTTTGGAAGTGTAAAAAAGCAAATCACAAAACTTTAAACCTTTCTTGCATTTCTCACCATAAAAAATGCAGGCAGAAATGCTTGGTGGGAAATGGATATTTCTTAACTACACTGAACTACAAACAGATCAAAAGGAAAGAAGACAATCAAAAGAGCGGTTTCCCCCGAAAGGAAAACCGCCCCTATTAATCGAACCCTTGATGAAGAATGGGCAGTAGACAAATGTGTGTCCTCCCTCCTCTCTTCTTCTTTTCAGGGAAAGTATGGAAATGAAGAAAACAGACGTGATGAATTGATATTTTATTTATATATATGAAAAGTTGGTTGGTACTCCAAGACTTGAGGGAGGTGTAAGGTTCTGGTTTCTGTTAAATTCAAAACCTACGAATTGGATGAAATCAACTGCCATCATAGGAAGTTACCTTTAGAGACTGCAGTATTATACTTCGTATTTATTATTTTTATTTTAAAATAGGTAAAAAAATTTAAACCCCCTTTTTCTGTTTGGGAGAGGGTGTTGCGTTCATTACTACCTTTCATTTATATGGAACTTAATTTGAAGATCCGTTTCAATGCATTAGAGCATCTCCAATGCTATAATGTGCACGGTACATGTGGCATGAGTGATAGTCACATAAATATTAGCAACAATGTCAACATCTAGACGGTCTCTTTGATATTGTAGAGAAAAACTTACCAAAACTGTATAAAATTATTCAAATAAGGAGAGAAAGAATTTATTTACTAATATTTATGTGGCTATTTCTCATGCCACGTGTGCACCGTGCACATTTTACCATTGGAGATGCTCTTAGAGCATCTCCAATGCTACAATGTGCACGGTGCACATATGACATGAGAGATATAGACACAAAATATTGATTTTATGACATTTCTTTCTCCTTCTTTTCACGGTCTTATGTGTTTTTGGTAAGTTTTTGTCTGCAATGTCAACCACAATATCTACATCCAGGGGCGGAGCCAGAAAAATGTGTGAGGGGGGTCGGAATTTAATTATATACAGTATCAAAATGATGGATATTTATTATACAATACTACTTGAGTTAAATGATTCATATGTAGCTGAGATAAATGGTAATTTAATAAGCATTTTTCGGTTAATGTATTGATATATATGTAATATATCATTATGTTCACAAACTAATGACTGAATAATCTATTTTATTTTTTATTTTAAGAATATAATCAACGTCAAACATCAAATTTTGCTTATTTCAAGTTAAGATGATGCTGATTTTTCCAGAAGTCATAACTTTTTACTCGTAATGAGTTACGGGACCCATAATTTATCAAATTGAAGGTATTTTAGAGCTCTACATTCTTGAACTTTTAGCGGGGTCAGCTGACCACCCTGACCCTCCCTTGGCTCTGCCCCTGTCTATATCTAGACATTGTGAAGAAAAACTTACCAAAATGATGTGAGATCATTCAAAGAAGGAGATAAATATTCTATTTATTGTTTTTTAATTGGTTATTTATCATGCCACGTATGCACCGTTAACGTTTTAGCATTGAAAATGCTCTTATTTATCTATTTGTAAACAGAAATGAAAGGTAAAAAAACTGAATTGTATTACCAACAAAGGTTCTTCTTTTAAAGGTTTTTACTTGCTTTTATCGAACATCTCATCTAAAAATTCACATTTCTTCTTCTTCATCATTACCCCAGTGCCGCAAAGGCTCCCACCTACAGTGAGGTAAAGGGGGTCGGATGTACGCAGCCTTACCCATGTACTAAAGTACAGAGAGACTGTTTCCAGATGGTCCATAGTGAAAGTTGCGATGAAAATTGTATAGATCGACTGTTGTTTCATAACAAAGAAGCGCACACAGTTTAGTGAATCATTTTGCTTTATTTTATCGTATTCCCAAGCCAAAAAATAGTGACTCTTTGGCTCATTGCCAAAAAAGTTCACATTTCTAATTTAGAAAATAATGAACACTCTTAAGCGCCAAATTAATCATCAAATATTAAAAATAATGCACTTATAGCATCACAATTATTATCACCAAGACACCAATGAACCCATTATACTGATAGGGGTGATAGTGTTATATAGTCATGGACCCATCAAAACCACTTCTCAAAATACACTCAAATTGCTTTATTTAATTATTGTCTAAATAATCGTGTTATTTTCAATGAGAACCTAGGAGTCCCAGGACGAATGTATTATTCATTATTTGAAACTTTAAAGAACCAAAAAAGGGAAAATGACACTACGATAAATACATAACATATAAATTACTAACAAACACCAATACGTTCTATACTTCCAGACCAATAAAAGGCATGCAATACGATCCAGTTCAAAACAAAAAATGGAAATAATAAAATCTCCAAAAACAAACATTTTGGAGACAAAAAAGTTTAATGAAGCTGCGCTATAGATTATACTCCGCGCTTGGATAAAAGAGGTAGTCAATTTTCTCATATTTTGAGGTTTCTTGTGAAGTCAAGAGTCTGATCACATGGCATAAATTGAATGGAAAAAGAATAATAAGTTAATAACATCCAATAATGCACAAGATAAAATCACCACTTCGAGAATAACTTAATTACTAAAGGTGGAACATAAATGGTACAATAAATTGGAGTAAAAAGGGGAAATGAAAAATTATATTACCATGCAAAGTATTACATGGCTATCTGTTATAAACAAATAAAAAGAAAAAAAGAATATTTAACACATCTGTTGTTTAAATGGCAAAAAAATGGCCATATGCACAGCAATAATTTAAAAAATAATAGTTCAACATGTCCTTATTGTTTTCAAGTCACCATTCTTTTACAAGTGTAATCGAAAAGGACCTGAAACACACTTCTAGTATCTCTCTCGTCAGGCAGCTTTAGAAGACGAGCGACTTTCTGAAAACCAGTGTGTTGCCTATGTACAGAATCTGCTGTGATTTCGGGCATCACTTCTTGCTTGGAAGGCTTTGGCTGTGTTAATGCCCATTGCATTGCCCAGATTGACAAGGGGCGCATGTAGGCTAGAGATCTATACCGCCCCTCTATGGTCCAAGCTTCTGGTGTTTGAAAAGCGTAGCTACAAATGGCAGAAAAGAAACACCTCTTATATCAGCATTATTTCAGTGCAAAGCACCAGGATTGTAATAAGTGCAAGGGTGCCACAATTTTTTTTAAACCACAACAGAAGTATAGAATGTACAAATGACGAAATTGAAAACATTGACTTGTGTTTAAAATTTTGCAACGCGCAAATCTTTTATTTATGTTAAAAACTTCTTTTATATTAATTCTATATATAAATTATTTGTTTAATATGAAATATTACTAACACATGGTCAATTTGATATCGCATGTGTAGAAATCCAATGATGCTGAAAAAAGTATCACTTTAAATATTTGTAGAAAAAATGTAAGGTTGACACTAAGTGATAATTTAAATAGATTAATTATATTTTTACAAATTTTCAGCATGTAAGGCCAGTCTGAAGTTGGAGGGAAACATCAAGGTCAACCTCTATCTAGATGGATATGTTAGGAAGTACATTTGCACCTAAGCAAACATGAATGGTCAATATGCACTGGAGGTACAAGTAAACTCTTGTAACTTAGGGAAGAAATAGAGAACTGAGTATGGTTTAAGAAAGAGAGGGAGATGATAAAAATTGTAGAAAAACAGAGTTAATTTTGATGTTCATATGTAGGATAGAAATGGGAAAGAAATAAGTAAAAGTTGAAAAGAAATGTATATCTCCTGTTTCTCTCCATGAGGGAGAAGACATAAAATTGGTGCCAACCATTTCACTCCTAACCAAACAAGAGAAACCCCACATTTCTCTCTTAATTACCCCCCCCCCCCCCCCCCCACCACCATCCTCCTTATTACCTCCCAACCAAAAAGACCTGAGGGCATATATTTGCACCTTCTCCCAAATAATAACATACACATGACTTTTTGTGTGTGCAACGTTGTAGTGATGAGAGTAGTGATATTTATTTACTTACCCGAAACCTTTTTCAGACCAAACGGTTTCATAGACACCAGCAGCAGTTCTGAATGCTAAATCAAACATGTTTTCATGAATCATGCCTGCAGCAACAGCATAGGTAACTCCAGGCCAGACTTCTCTTGCCTGCATGCATGACAAGTCAACTTCACCATTGGGTTGCATACCATTCACCGCCCCTCTGCTTCCCTCCTTCACCTTTGAAACATTGAATTTAAATACAGTCTCAAGGGAAGTTCTTGCTTGTTCTTCATCTACAATCGGTGCAAGTCCACATGCCCTAGCATACCTACAAAAATAAAGATGACATTGTATCAAACAATCAATTGCAATATTGATGTGATGCAAACACTATTAACTGCAACAAGAGACAATTTAAGGCATTAATAGTTTACTTATCACTTGTCCTCTTTCACTAACATTGTGTTGGTTCAATGGGGGGAGGGTTCTATAATTATCAAATTCAGATAGAGGGAATGGGAGTGAAGGGAATCTAATGCAAAACTTGTTGGATACAAAATGGTAAATTAAAAAGAAAATGATAGATAGACCAACTGCGTTTATTTTATTTAACTGTAAATTAACTATTTTACCAATTAAAAATGATAGATAGACCAACTGCCTTTTTTACTTTAACAGTAGATTAACTATTTTAGTCAATCAACAACTTAAAATAATACAATCTGTTTAAAAAAACACATTTGGTAAGTATTTAAACATGTCACTTGTTTTTATAAATACTTGCTATACATTTTGCTATCAATAATCTTTTTGAAACATTTAATTAAAATTTAGAACAAGTTTCTAAAACAAATAAACAATACGGAGTGCTAAGATACAATGCAACAGAAAATGAACAATATGATTGGAACCAAGAGGGCAGTAGTCCACAAGAAAAAAGTTATGCATTTCCTTATCCTCATTGTTTGTTCTTTCTAACCCAAACAAGGGGAACTCACCAATATCCTTTCCAACACTGTGTAAAATACTTTTCCCTCAAACCAACACTATGTAATTGCATTAACGTAAAGGACTACATGATATATTATTTGCGTGATAAATTACAATCAGTTTCCAGTAAAGTACCATTGTCCAGCCAACTGATCAGCTTGAATGGATGAGCTGACTCGACCACCACAGTCATCATAGTCAAAGTAAGAACCGTTCCACAGCTTCTTATATACTTTCTGTGCCTTCTGGAACTTAAACAAAAAATATTGTTCAGAACCCTTATCTCCCACTTCCCCTGCCAATGCAGATGCAGCCTGCAATGCTGCCACCCATAGCCCACCACAGTATGCACTCACACCAGAGACAGACCACACATCATATGTCTGATCAGGCAAGCCTTCGTTTTCAATCATTCCATCCCCATCTTTGTCAAACTGATCCATGTAAGCAATCGCCATATACACAGCGGGCCAAACCGCTTCTGCAAACTTTTTGTCACCCGAGGCAATAAAATCCCTGTAGACTTGAAGAACGAACTTTGGATTCAAATCTTTCCACCTATTCGTGTTATGGAGATTGTAAAAGTTTACTTCAAACCACGGATCATTCATTCCAATGTCATGAGGAACAGCACCTAATGATTTTCTAGTTCCTAATTTGCCATCATGAAGAAGTGCCATCTTGTCAGGGTCATGCATCATGACTGCGGCTGCATAGTCTCTTTGTATGCTAAGTTCAATTTTCGGGAATAGCATGGCCAGTGCAAACGAGGCGTAGAAATGAACATCATATGTGTTACACATGTGATACTCGCTTCCTTCAAGATACAAGAACTGACCAATGTTTTCCTCTCCCTTCTGAAGAAGGTTTGTCCCTAGGGCAGCCTTGACTGTTGTGGGAGTTTGAATTTGTTGGAATACAGAGGCCATCCTTTCAAGAATAAGAATGGCAGTGTCGGTTGTTGGTTGGGATTGATCACCAGTATACTTAGGATCTGATGAATTAGATCTATCAATGGAGAGCTTTCTATCACCAATAGTTGACACACCACGCACAGGTGGTGAACCATCTACATATGGGATAAGTTAAGTCATTTTAGTATATTACTTTCACATTTTAAATTTATTACTCCTCCCACCCCCACCCCCCCCAAAAAAAGAGACTCATGCTTCATCAAGGTACAACTCTTTTAGATGATCAAATCCTTCATATATTTATTATTACTCCCTCTGTCCCTAAAAATTCTTCCCACTTTCCTTTTTGGGACGTCCCAAAAAATTATTCCCATTTCCCTTTTTTGGAAAGTTTTGTGTGGCTACCATTCATTTACCTTTTTCTTACTCAACCATAACCATACATTTCCACTTTATTCCCACTTTCTTAAACTCCGATCCAAACTAACATGGGAAGAATTTTCAGGGACAGAGGGAGTATTTGTTTGTTTTCAAAACTAAACTTTACTTGTTTGGAAAACCTTTTGAAAAAGAAAACATTAAGTTCAATGAAAATTAGCTGTGTTTGATGAATATGGGACTATCTTTTGGGAAAAGATAAGATTTGAAACATAAATCTTTTTGGGACGAATGTAGTATAAATGATCAGTGTAAACATAGTGATTTGTCCTCCAGCAAGTACCTGTCCACATTGTTCCTCCTGAGTTAAGGTAATAGAGTTCATTGAACAGGGTAACTGGGTACCTGCAATAAACCAGTCAAACTTAATACTATATTTGGAACCTGAAAAATGGTAGTAAAAGGAAAAATGCCAAGGATAATGGGTTTTTAATGTTTGATTTTACCTTGAAAAAACCAAGGAAAATAAAAATTTGATTAGACCTTTTTAAGATTATATATATACTACTATATTTTAGTCATTTTATAATAGAAATTATATAAACAAAATGATTTTGAACAAATATCTAAAATTGATTTATTGAATCTGATTTTTATTTCCTGATCCCGCCTTGTATTGCCGCTCCATGTTCTTCCCTAGCATTTTAAAGATTCCAAACCAACCCCAAATATTCATTTTACATGGAATCTCTAAGTGAAAACAGAGCCTCACCATTCAGGAAACCTCTTGTCCTCAAGAATTGGATTCTGCCATGCTTCTATTTGTGATTCCCAGTGAGTATGCTCTGTGTGTTCAACCACAATGCAAAGAATCAGTGGCAAACCAAGTCTTTTGACAAATCAAAGTATGACTTTTGGTTATAATTGTCTAATAAGGGGTAAAGGTAAAATAATGCAGGTGTTATTGGTTAACAGTTAAACACAAGTTGGATTAAAATATGTAATAGTACACAGCGTATTGTATTTTGTTATGTATATTAAATCCATTTCAGGTATGAAAAGAGAACTTTATGTGGGTACCAGGCTATAATACATTACCATGAAGAGCATCACGGGTAATATCTGCAGCTGCACGGCCAAGAGATCCGTAGAATTTAGTATAGCGCCTGTTTAGAAAATTATTAACACAAAATCGAAAAGAACAAAACAGTTACTTATCATTGATGCATTTGACTACCAACCTGTGGTATGTTCTACCACTCTGAAAATTTATTTCTGGACAAGCCCATGCCAATGCAAACGTGACAGTATGCTCCTTCTCAGCTGGAATAGTCAAAGAAGCAGCAATGGCAGCTCCAATAACTGATCCCGGTTCAGAAGGCGCTGACACTTCTTCAGACTTGAGGCGGACAAAGGATCCATACTACCAATACGTAATAAGTAGCATGATTGTCAATAAAAATGATGATAACCAAGAAGTGTATTTTAAAATATGAAGTAAAATGATATCCTTACACAGGTACAGTGGAATTAAATTTTATCTTGACTAAATTTTATAACAGTTGAATAGAGAATTTTACAGTTTTCTCATTTTTCACGCTGCTGGAATAAAGCACTAGTGTTAAGGTTCATGTGGCATTAATATCTGTAATTATGTCATTTGGATCTGATAATTCTCTGAAATCACTCTATGTATAGAAATTCCATATATGACATGGTAGATTGTAATGAAGCTAAGATTAAATATATAGAGTACTCGGAACCGCTGTCCGGACGGCAGCGTTTGGCCGCCTTCCGGGTGGAATTTTTCGATGAAATTTTTATGACATGTTCTCCATCAAGTCTAGTTTATCCACAAAACATTTCAGCCAAAAACTCATTCGGGAAGGTCGTCAAATGATTTTTGCAAGTTAACTGGTCCGGAAAATACATATTCCGGACCAGTTAACTTGCAAAAATCATTTGACGACCTTCCCGATTTGAGTTTTTGGCTGAATTTTTTTGCGGATAAACTAGACTTGATGGAGAACATGCAATAAAAATTTCATATAAAAATGCCACCGGGAAGGCGGCCAAACGCCGCCGTCCGGACGGCGGTTCCTGTCCGGAAATCCGGACATGAACATTTGTGATTGTGTAAATATATATATGCAAAAGCTAGATTTTTAGTCTTCCAGTTATGGGAATATAGCAGAATTAGTCATTTGATGATTGGAGGTTTTAACTTTTAGAATGTGAATTATCACTGAGATAGTGATTCTAGTCCCTCGTCTGATACAGATGTTCACTGGTAATGGAAATTGATTAAATACCGTAAGATACACATTTCTAAAGCAACTAGCATGTTTGCAGAGACATGTTATGCCGAGTTATCTGAAAACTCAAGTGCTAGCAAAAACGCCTATTTTTTCCCATAGTAACCGCTATGACAACGACTAATCCACAGACCGAAATTGGAAAGATAAGTCTCCAAAAAACATTGCACAGACAAATGAGTAGATCATTAATTAGTCACTTTCTAATGAGAAAATAATACTCCGTATTCAATATCAATTGCTACGGTATTTCAAAAAACCATTCTCTTTGCAAATTCTATGTTCATGAAGTTGCGTTATGGATTGCATATGAAAAAAAGGAAGTTGGCAATGTGTAGTTCACAAGTGAGCTAAGAGGATGGTCATAACATATACTACAACAGAAAATAAAGTGGGGCATGCAGTAACCCGATCGGTTAAAATAATCATTTCAAGGACAACCTAATGACTAAAAGTGAACACATCCAATATTTAAGAAATAAATTTGATATATACTTATATTGAAAGAACAAATGTGCTATATTTCCAAAATAATATGAAACAAATCATATAATAGAGACAAAGTCACCCAAAAAGTAAAGCAAAAAGTCAGCCAAATTACATAACAATACAAGCAGACCTCTTTTATCTCGTTCCACATATCTTTTGCTGTAATGCCGTGTGACTCCCCAGATATCACAAAGGAAGGGCACTCGGAGACATGAACCACATCAGTTTCTTCTGCTGCAATTGAGAAAGTTACTGAGGGTTGTCCACTTGCAGTCCTGTATTTCAGTAGTAGCCATTGAGAGAGAGACAGCCCCATATGTACCCCAATGGCAAGGATTCCATTCAATAACCTTAACAAGAAAATAACTTACAAATGGTGCAAGAGGATACCCCGAGTACCATCTTCCATTCTGTCAGGAAATGACATTTGAGGTCACAATGCATAAATGGGTTGTTCTTGGAAGAAAAAAAAAGCCTACAGAATCTGATTAAAAGATGGCAGTGAACTCTAAGATACACCAAAGACTTTGTTCACCTAAACTTTGAGTTGAAATGTTGACCAGAATATCCGGAACCTCCACCAACTGAGTTCTGGAAACATGTAAATATTAAATGTCTAGTCATCCAAAACTTAACTGAATGTACTGTACAAATATTATTGGATTAATTTTGAGGTAAGAAACAAATCAGTTTATAGGCGCTTATTCTGAAGCCAAGAGATAAATACATACTGCCCAAGTGAAAAGCAAGGTAACATCAGCAGGTGTCTGCCCCAAATTAGAAACCTGAAGATATTAAATTTCAGCCTTTTGGTGTAAGCAAAACTTGGAGAAATATACACGACAGTAAATTTTACTGTAGTTGAATTTATAAGAAGCATGTTTCTGACCGTGAACGTAAAGACTGCTGTAGGCAGGCTGCTGTCCTTGTAGTTATGAGGAATAAAGGGAGAAATCTGACGGCAAACTATCTTAACTAATGGGTCGGGTTCACCTTGAAATGTGTTAAAAACATGAGAACACTATTTAATTATGATAGAATGTACATTGGCTCAACATGGGATTTACCATCATATATTGTCCAAGCCCTTGGAAACAAGGCATGATATGTACAGTTCTGTCCTCCAAGGCTCCAGTCCCAAGATCCTATTCCAGAAGCCGAATTATCACTGTATAACGATATGTAATCAGTCATTCAGTCATATATTGTTATTAAAGTTTACACAGGCATTTTAACACTCAAATAGACTGCTCTATTGTTAGTGTGTTCATGTGTACTTCATGCATCCATTGATTTTTTAAGTAAACTGATTGCAATATGTACATTTTGGTTGCTTACTCTAGCACTTCTGGGCTTCTTGGAGATAACACTGTGGAATATTTTACATCATTTGGACGTGAAACAAATACCTGCACAAGGAAGATCAAAGCCAGGCTGAGCCACTTCTTTCTGGAACACTCTTTAACACCAACAGTTAGCCAGCACTCTCTCTAGTACTCTGAATTAATTGGTATGTATATCAGTTCCTATATGAAATAAAGTGACTGATATCAGTCGATTCTATATTCTAATTTATGTAGTAATTGAGTCCTTGATATTATAGTTCCCTAAATTAGAATGTATTCAGAAGTAGGAACAAGTAATGTAACTCAAGAAATCTGCAATGTATACATCAATAAATCACACATGTCATAAAACATTAAACTTACAGAAAACTGGTTTGCAAGAACTGGTTTGTCTTCGCATCTTCTTGGAAATAATTGCCAGCGTAGAAACTCACCTTTGTAGCTTCTTCCAATGCTTCCTGCACTGAAAGTTTTCTACTTTTGTAGTAAACTTAACACAGTTTTATACCAACCTAGTTGCAGCCAGCAACTTGAATCCCATGTCTACATGTACAATAGCATTTGGATGCCATGACCAAAGTGGGGACAACAATTCCCATTTCAAGTCAAGTGCAAATTCAATTGACATAAGAACGGTCAGACATGGGGATCAAACTAACAACATAAAAGTAGGTGGTGGGTGTTTAGTGGTGGTGTAGGAGGGGTGGCTCATGTGAGCATTCCTATAAGTTCATATGGAAATTGGTCAGGTCTATGACAGAACTAAACAAAAGATTGTTTAATCGAGATTTTTTTCTTTCATAAGTTATCATTCGGCATAACAGATTTATTTTTCAAATAGAGATCTCAGTCACGTACCCCATACCACCTAGAGGAACACCTTGGCATGAAGAGTAAGGACGTCTTGTAAAAGGATCAACAAACAAACCTTCCTGCAATATTAATAAATATGGAGTTCATACGATTCTTTGTAGCAATAACAAAAGAAAATCGACTGTTGAATTTCATAAAAGTAAACAACTTACTTTCCCTTTTCTATCCCGTAGGCGTCTCCACAATCGATAGCCCAGTGGAGCCTACCCAAAAGAAATAATAAACACCAAAAACGCAAAAGGGAGAAATGGCAAGATGGTAGAACACAACTCTGAGGCATAATAGCAAATACCAGAGCTTGAAGTTATGATTCTATTATATTTTATTCCAAATTTAGGTCTCTTTCTCACCCATGTGTTATGCATTAGGGAACAAGTATTCTGTATTTCATTTAATATTTGTAGTTTATCAAATTGTATAGCTGAGATAGCAAAATGAAGATTGTATCCAACCCTTAATCGGATTCAACATAAACCTGGACCATAAGGGTAAATTCATCTATCAGAATAGCAAACAGAAGTATAATGTCCACATAAATTTAATGCATACCATAGCAACCATCTCTTTCACACTGAGGTTGAATTCTGACAGGACAGTGTCTGCTGTGTCAAGTTTGCGCTGCCAGGTCAAAGATGGAGGTTTCCTAGGCCCGGTCTTAACCTTGAGATGAAACGTGAGTTGAACAAGAAGTAATCAAACAATAGAAATGAGTATACCTTTAATTAATAACAATAGGTTAACTATTAAATGGTGTAAGCCTATTATCCAATCAACATTTTCTTTGTGACTTGCCAAGGTTCCAGGCAGGACAGTCCCTTGGCTCAAAGATCAAAGCAAACATGTGATTCCATAAGGAAGTATTAAAGTTCAACATTTCTCAAAATTCATAGCAGTACATAAAAAACAATAAAGAAATCGCACAAATAAAACAAATTACGTAGTATAATCATCATCATCATTTATGCAAACCGTCTGTGTGGCCTTGATTATCTAAATGAGCTCTCCCTGACAACATCTCCAATGCAACAATGTGCATGATGCACATGTGACATGGGAGACATAAACACATACAAATAAATAAATAAAATCTCTCTCTTTCTTTCAACGGTCTCATAAGTTGTGGGTAACTTTGTCTCAACATGTCAACCACAATGTCTTCAGCTAGACATTGTTATTGACATTGTGGAGAAATATTATACTTATTAACTTTTATGTGTCAATCTCTATCATGCCACGTATGTAAGATACACATTTCTGCATTGGAGGTGCTCTAAAACATAACTTGTTGGTGACTGTTGTGGTTTATGGTAAGTTCTAATACAGTAAGCAATGTATTTATATGGTTTTTAACACTTGTAGATTTAATTATTGGCAATCATTAAATCTACCTTGTTATGCTCAGGGAATTCTTCTTCTCCGCCATGAAAACCATTAGTCAACATAGTTGGTAAACAGCAATGGGATCAAAGATTCAAGCTTTCCTTTCCTTCGAATTCAAGCACATAAGTGAGGCAGGTAATACCAAAAGCGTCAAAGATATTCCCTTTTTAAAAGAACAACGAAAAGAAGGAAACTTTGATCAGTCAATGAAGATCAATCAGCGGTTATACAGTTACTCTTTCCTTAACTGATACAGGCAAGAAAGTAAAAATCATAAGCGGAAGCTTTGGATCAATTAGGGTCGGGTCAAACGAAATGCAGGTTTAACCATGAACATAATAAGGTAAATAACTGACCTGTCTGAATGCAGGAACAAAGTGGCAGATCGCTGACAGAGAAGTTGAAGCGGACTGATGAAAAAGAAACTGCTCATGGATATCTTTTTTCCCATGGCGTTTGTTTCCGTCCGATTATTATTATATTGAATGACACCAAACCACACTATTAAAGTTGTTGAATTTAATTTATTTTTTACTCGGTTCAAAAAATAGTGGCGGAATATTCTATATTAATTCATTCATAGGTATGAAATATTATCCGTCTCAATAACAGGATAAAAATGGATGGCCAATTATTAAAAAAGATGTGTTATGTGATTAATATTGAATTAATAAATAAAAAGAAGTAAATAAAATTTAAAATCATACTCCGTATAAAGTTTACCAAATTTGGTATTCCGTATAAGATCATCTTAATTAGTTATCTAGAAAAGGTAAAATGAAACCATCTTAGTGGGATAATGGTATTTCTTAACATTCATCTATAATCCGGTAAAACAAAACATTCATCTATAAAATTCATGTAATACGAAGTGTGAAGTACGAACCTCTAATATACTTGTTTATATAAAAAAATCTTGAAATATCAAGTATGTTTAAATATTTTCTTCTTGATACAGAAAAAAATGAGTGGCAACTAAAAAATACTACCTCCGTCCCTAAATGTTTTTCCAAAATAAAGTGGCACACTGATTAAGAAAGTGAGAATTGTGTGGTGGAGAGTTGTGCAGAGGAGAGAGAAATGCTGTGACCCACAAATTCTTTGCCAAAAAAGGAAAGTGAAGTTCTTTTTGGGACGAACGAAAAGGGAAAGTTGGAAGTTCTTTTAGGGACGGAGGGAGTATTTTTCAAGCAATTATTATTCCAAAGACTTTTGTTGCCCGATCAATGGTTAAATGGTGATGTTATACTCCGTAAATGATTTGCCAAAAGAATCCTAGAGGTTGACCACTAATATATACAGTAGTCAAGAAGTTGTGACTTTACACCAATGGCCAATACTACAAAGTCAGAGCACTTCACTTCATTTTCATGATCTATATTTGAAAAAGTTTGAAATTAATTAATTATTGTACAAACTTATGATACAAAATAGTATTACCTCTGCCTCCTCAACATTGTGACAAGAAGGGATGACACGACTATTAAGAAAAGTAAGTTTGATATTAAAGGCCTTATTTTACTAATATTACTAAATTAAATGAGAATAACCAAAATGTGATTAAGTTTCAATTTTCCCAAAGAAGTGACCAAGATGCTTAATATGGCCTTTATTACATACGGATTACTCCATTTCTTATGATTTTTGTTTATACGGAGTATTTATTAGCATCATTAAGAAACAATGAATGGTTGGTTCCCGGACACCACCGCAACTATCACTGTCGACACTATCATCGTCGGCGGCGGCGGGGCAGTGACTATGTTCGCCCACCCCCCATTGCCTCCTTTTTAGTGACTACTCCGCTGCCCTTTTTCAGTGACTACCTCATTGCCCCCTTTTCAGTGACCCCCCTTTGCCCCCTTTTCATTCAGTGACCCCTTTTCAGTGACTACGGTCACCACCAACCATCAGTGATGTGACACCGCACCCAAACGTCCTTGAAAATTTAGTTTTAAAATTCAAAGTTTATGTATTGGATTTCTGATTCCCAAACGATTGTAAAACGATTAGTGTTTTACGTAATTAATGATCGATTATTGTACTGATCGAACTCGTATATTAGTATCGGGCCTTATTAGTAAATAAAAGAGCCTAACATTATCTAAGTAGCGATACATAACGTTTCAAGACAAGTTGAGAAAGGGCGGGCGGCCCAGATATTATTTTGGGCTCAACCCGCTAAAATAACAAGTATTCGAGAATGGCGTCGTAGGCCCACTCGGGGGCGACCCACACGGCTAGTGGCCCAATAATATGGATGGCAAATGTCAAAATAAGTGATAGGATGATTTGAGATGAATACAAATGTCTATGATCCCATCTTTGACATTATTGAGCTAAATAATGGGAGTAGGATTTTTCTTCTATAATGTCCATCAAGTAAATTATTGAGATGAGCCTACACATATTGGAGATCAATAATGTGATGTAGGAAGTTGACTTGTTCTAAATAAATTAGGATGAGTACAAAAGACATCTTTGACAAAAGATAAAACAATAGGACCCATCTTTCTATTTTTGGGAGTATTGGTAGATATTTTGGACCCCAAAATAATTGGGATCAATGGGGAACCACTCCACATGATTTTAGTACCTGCAAGACAAGAGAAATAAGTGAGGAGACTTACCTTGGCCGCACAAGCTGGAGGAGAGCTGCACAAGACTTGATTGGAATCAAACTTGAGACCCACCTTGTCAATTTCCGCACAAATCATGGGTGTGGTTTGTCTCCCTCCTTAAAGGAAGTTGTACTCGTCCAAATGAGGTGTATAAGGTGTCCTTGGATAGCCTTTGAAGTCGATTTTCATATTTGAGTGGCCTCTGTTCGAGAGGAGATAGTTATCTTACAAAAATCGAGCTGGAGTGAGCTGTGGTCTGTAAACTCGAGCTGTGAGAGTGCTGAGACTGTTGGGTGGATATCTCGAGCTATACCAATCCAATTAAGGCGTGTGAGATACCACCAGAAAGCTCTCAAGACGAGGAATCCGTGAAGGTCTGGTTTGCATAAATCGGAGCAGTGGAAGGCTTCCAAATCGTCCGAGCAAAACACAACCTCGCAGAAACGGATCTACCTTTCTAAAGTGAGTTGTTAACCCCAAAACCTTTCCATTCATTTTCCAAATGATATGAACGATTAGTGGAACTATTGTACACTAATCCAAGTGTATAATATGTCCTTGTAAAGTCATTTTATTGATGTAAAGGTTAGTTACTAACCTAGAGTAAATCTTGGAAAACTAGGAGACGAGTTAACCGGAAAACACCCATTCTAGGGGCTGTTTTCGTATCAACGTTTGAGGGTTGAGCTAGCACTTTGAGGAGGCGGTTTGACACTCATATTGTCACGCCCCAGACCGCAATCCAAGCGCGTGTACAACCGCCGTATAACCAAGTGACGTCACCCACGAGTCAACCTCACTTAGTTACACAAGGCGTTCGAGAAAACAATCCATCCATACTCAGTAGTAAACATACATAACAACATCACATTCAAACCAATGAATAGCGGAAATATTCAACGGTACGTCATGAGCCACAACCGGCCAACAACATGGGCATGCAGGCCCCAAAAATAGTTTATAGTAAAACAAATATGCATGAGCAAGTGTTCGGTAGTTTGAAAGAAAATAAGGAAGCACGAACCACGTCTTCCTGATTTGATATCACCCTTGAGAAGGTGCAAGTAGCAAGCCCTAGCTTCAACCTGAAAATGGTGGGGCCCCCCGAAGGGGTCAGTACAAGTAACGAGCGAGTAGCAAGCTAAATATAGAATAACTAGCGTTTCAAGTATAAGACCCAAACATAGGGTGATACTTAAGTAAATAGTCCTTTCCCCAAGTTATGAAATACTTATTAGCATATGTATACTTGGAAAATATACGATCCGTAGATCACCATTTTATTTGGGAAAAATAGTAATAGTCAATATTCTTGACTAAAACCCCAACCCACCCATATACCTATGAGTGTATAGGACTCCTCCTTGTCCCTACTTGTATATCACAATCTATGAGTTTTAGGATCATAATCCTTGGATACTCCACCGGTTTGTGAGCGTTAAGGACTCATAAGTCCTAGGGTCCTCCACCAAGTTTTGAGTGTTAAGTACTTTTAAGTACTAGGGTCCTCCACCAAGTTTGAGTGTTAAGGACTTTTAAGTCCTAGGGTCCTCCACCAAGTTTTGAGTGTTAAGTACTTTTAAGTACTAGGGTCCTCCACCAAGTTTGAGTGTTAAGGACTTTTAAGTCCTAGGGTCCTCCACCAAGTTTGAGTGTTAAGTACTTTTTAAGTACTAGGGTCCTCCACCAAATTTTGAGTGTTAAGTACCTTTTAAGTACCAGGGTCCTCCACCAAGTTTTCCTATGATCAACCTCCTATCAACCTAGATAGAGTCTATATCATCCTTAGTTACTCATAACTAATCCAATACATAAATCTTATGTATCACAACCCATGCAAAGCCATGCATTTATATAGGTTTATAATTAATTAATACCAACCGGTATTAATTAAATCCTTTGTTCTTCGGTCCACGTTTTCGTTGACCGCCATTTCATGCCTTGTGTGTATCAACTTAATCATCATATAATTAAGTTAATAATATTCATTTGTGCTTCTAATACACTTCAAACAAATATGCATTTCATATAATTCTTCATATCATATTCCATGCATCAACAATTAATTTCTTTCATACAAACTTAACCCTATTGGCTAATCACATGTTTAAATATCTTTTAAACATCATTATGAAATCATATAACATTTATTTAGGTAATCTCATAATTAACCCAAAAGTTATAAGATATTAAGCCGTTCACTCACCTTGAACTAGCGTTATGAAGTTCTACCCCTCTTGGTTGAACTCCGGTGAAACTCCGGCGACTTTCGGTCAACTCCGGCGACAACTCCGGCGACTTTACCAACTTTGTGAAATCACTTGAAATACCTTTCACAAGTTCCTAACAAGGTTTTATAATCATAAAACCCGTATTAATACAAATAACCTCAAAACGGTTATTTTCCGGTGAACCGGTCGTTTTGGCTTCTAAGTCCGTTCTTGGACATAGAATCACTTTCCAACCCATTAATCCATACTTATAACATGTAGAACCCTCTCAAGGATTCTTCACATGATATATATCTCATATGGTAGAAGAAAAATAAAGGAGAAGTTATAATAAGGTCATTATGACCTTAGTTATTTCACACTTTTAGCACTTTAGCTCCTTTTTTTTGGTGATTCTTCCTTGATGATTTCTCTTCAACAATGGAGGAAGGAGGCTGAGTGGTTTTTCTTGCTCTTCCTGGGTTCTCTTGGCCGAAAATGAGGGTGGGAGAGGGGTGAGGCTTACCCCTTTGTCTCATTGAACAAATGGGTGTGGATGGGGGGCCACCTCATTTTTGTTTGATGCCTTTTAGATCATGTCAACCTCTCCCTCCCATGCCTTCCTCTTCAAACAG